TAAAGAAATTTTTCTGCAAATCGTAAATCATGATGTTAAATTTGCAAAATGTAGATAGTCGTTAAATGTTGCAACGAATCGGACGGTGTTTAATCGGCAGCTAAGCCACGCCTCTGATCATCTGAACACAAAACAGGCTTTAAGGATTTTGCTGATTTTCTTTAAGATTGACATTGTTTCCATTATTACTAGTGTTTACGACATCTTTCGGCAAAAACGATAGTGACTTTTGTCAGATTATTTTAGTCTATAGGTCTGTTAAAAACAATAACATAGTGATATTCACAACGATTGCTTCTCATTGAAATGCAATTTTGCATTTGTAAAATTAGCACCAGATTCTATTCTACAAGTTGTCGCACTTTAAATGCACCCAATAAAGCGAGCAAAATGTGTTTTTACGTTCTTTTATTAAGGGACATGTGGCTTAAAAAGTGTACTTTGTGGCTGATTTCACTAAGAAGTCCAGTTACACTGGTCCCAAATGTCGATATAAAACACTTATGATGTCACATCTCCAGTCACCAAATTTCCACGTTGCGGGCCAGAGATTCTCGTCCATCTATTAGGCTGGATGATTTCATTATACTCCAAGGCCGTGGTTCTCCACCCCTTGTTTTGGCAAGGTTTGAAGTTTGTTCTGCAGTGGTTTAATTGTCACCTAATTTTAGCGTGTCATTTCTAAAATATTTAAATCTCGTGTTTGAAGCCACCCAACTAATAGATTTATACTCTGGAAGCAACGCCTATTCCAGTTTTCCATTTCTCATTGTTATACTGTAACGAAGTATGTGAAAACAAAATGGTTTGTGAGTAATGACTCACCAAAGTCCCTCTGTTGTAAGCAAAACAGAAGTAGACACTAATGATGACTTCTGAATTTATCATCAATGTCTTCTAGAGAGTTTCGTTTAAATTTTGAATTGTTGAGGTCCGTTACAATAAGGCCCATCTCGACTTAGTTGCCTAGATCCGAGTGATTTTAACTAGTAGTTCTGAGAGACGCCGACGCCAAGTTATGTAATATTCTGTGCTGCAGGGTGTATTTGTTAAAAATGGGAGGTGCATGCGTCTTCTAATCTTCAAATGTTAAGACAGCTTGTTTATGCCCCCATTGTAGGGATATGAAACTTTTCTAACTGAAGGAGGAGGAAAGTTATCTGGCGGTCAGAAACAGCGTTTAGCTATTGCACGAGCCTTAATTCGCGAGCCGAAGATTCTTCTACTCGATGAAGCTACCTCGGCATTGGACAACAAGTCGGAGAGGATTGTTCAGTCTGCCTTCGACAAGGCCTGTCACGGTCGGACCGTCATCATCATTGCGCATCGCCTCACCACAATCCGCAACGCCGATCGAATTGTTGTGATAGATCGTGGGATTGTTCAAGAAATGGGCACCCATGAGGAATTACTCGCCAAAGGTGGAATCTACGCCAGCATGATAGCAAAGCAGGCAAGGCACACAGATGATTTTGCTTCGTAAAGGCTCTTTATTCGTTTTGAGTAATTGTTTAATTGAGACCCAGGGTCTTCTGATCAAGGTTCGACCACTTTCTAGGTCCTTTAGGTGGCTTGTAACGTTTAATTTTGTCTGTTATTAGAGACAATGTTGGTAACGAGTGCTTTCCCAGGGTGGTTGCAGTCGATTCGCCAAATGGATTATGTAACCAACTTTCTCTTTGTCACAACAAACTTATCGAATATCTTAAGACTATTTGGAGATGGTACTTACGATTATTAATACGGCACAACTATCAGAACAAGAGAACAATATTATCATTGGTGCTAATTGTATATCACAAGTAGATTTTTTAACAACTTTCGTGCGTCTTTTAGTTTAATTTCCAGACCTGTTGTGGCATTCGCCTAAGAAAATAATTATCAGACTCCATGAAATGTCCGATTACGTATGATAAATAAGCTGTTCTGTGGGCATGCATGGATGGATGCTCTCGGAGTCACGTGGCGCAAAGTCCTGGCAGTAATCAAACAACTAAGACGAACACTTTCCTAGTTGTCATTTTGTGAAGGATAGCTCAAATTTCAGTTAGGCTGTTCGAAGTGATGGATTAGCTGGCAAAACATTGGCTTTTATTATGGCAAGATGGGTAGAAGCCAGAGTAAAGATCTCACAAAACCCAGAAATTAAAGATAAGGCCATCCAGACTTAAAGTTTCTATAGTGTAACTTTAGTCAATGTCTATTCAACACATGTGTGCATGTTCTCGGACAATGCAAACATTGTTTTATTCGTTTTCCTTTGAAGCCGCATGTTGACAAATATGAGGAAGATGAGAGCGGGTCTAGCAGCGAGGATGAGCTCTCAGACAACGAATTCCCGAATTCAAGTGAAATGCATCGCAAAGAATCCATCAGAACTTCGGAACCTTCTGAGCACGATAACCTTTCTTCTGTGGATACGAACGTGTCTGTTTTAAGAAACAAAAAAGTGAGACGTCAAATGTCGTTTTACTGTTTATCCACGATTCTTCTGTGTACGCCTATAGAGAAAGTAAACGCTGACCGCAAAATAATGTGTAATTTGGGCTAAAAATATCCCATGGGTGAAATGATTTGTCCCAAGGATTTTTACAAAGCTTTAACTCATTGATGTCTGGTGGAAGACATAGGACATAGAGAACTATCCCTACTACCACATGCAATTGATCCCACCAAACCATGTGCCCAATCAGATTGTTTGCAAAGAAACCGTCGGTTAGACCCCTCTGAAAACTGGGTTTTCTGTTTTGCTGAGTGCTTTCCTAAATGGTTGCCTGCATATAGATATGGTCATTGAACTTCTACATAAAGTTTGTGTGTGTTTCTGCATAGACTTCTTTCGACTTGCTGTTGATAGCAAATTCCTTGCTATTGTTCGTCCATATTCTCAGTTTTGATCGATGCCTGGTCTTCGGCCAAATAAATGGACGAAGTCTTGCTGAAACGTATCCTCACTGAAATTGGGTTTTTATATGCTCTGAGCCACAGTGTTTTTGATTGTTCGTTTTTTTGAGGAAAGTCTGTCCATCCAAGGTGGATTTAGGGGCCACTGGTGAGATTGTTATCTACCTCTCTTGTAGACTCACGCTCTTCTTGAAGCTCTGGCTATGAACAAACCGGAATGGCCTTACCTATTTTATGGTCTTGTGGCAAGCACAGCGACCGGTGTCACACTGCCAATGTTTTCATTAGTTTACGCGGAAATTTACGGCGTAAGTGATGTACACGGTTCTGCTTATCCCATTTTAAATGCTCCGTTGTGCTTTGATATTGCCAAGATACCATAAAAGGTTTTACGAATATGGAGGAGTTTTTACAGGGCCTTGGTATTGGTCAATTGTACCTGGAGGGGTCAAAATACTGAATAAGACATGGGTTGATTGTCATTTCAGGAATTTTCCACAGAGGGCAAACATTCAAGTACCTAGACGTACAGTTTCCTGAATGTGGATTTCGTGCCAATGAGTACCAACAGGCTTTTGGTGCCTTTCAGCGTCTTTTTGCAGTCACATTCATACTCGTGTATTCATTTTAGCTTTTTGGTATGCAAGATCCTTCTGCGAAGAGAGAACGAGCTTCCTTTCTCTCGGGTATTTTTGCAATGCTGGGCTTTTTGCGACTTTTCTTTGCCTCAACAGGGGTGAGTAAACTAACACCTATAAAATGTTCTCACTCTGATGTGAAAATTCATTCCATCTTGAACCCATGCGTTTATGCATATTTTGCTTTGAATACATTTGTTTCACTAACTCTAAAATGACAGGAAATTTCCCTGAGTAGCAAAAGAGAGATTTAACAAATTTTGTGCACAAATCGCGACACTTTGATAAGTGGAATTAATGCGCCTACCAAAAGTATATTCCCCATTGGTTGTTGAGTGGGTGAGCCCGACTGCACCAGTCGAAGCCAGTAGACGCTTTCCCCTTTTTTAGAATGCCGCCCTTGGGGTTGCGGGAGCCCGTCTTACCAAGCGGACTCGACGGCTCTTTTTCAAAGCAATTTTAAAGCAAGTAAGTTGGCTGGTTTTAAAATACACCGGTCCTTTTCCCTTTGCTTAAAATAAATGTGTAAATATTTCGACAACATTCAATGTTCTCGAACTTTTGTACTTACTGGCAAGCCCAGTGAAACGGGGCTGTCTTTAGCACAGCCTTGAAACAAGGTGGTTTTTAACAAAGCCATGAACTAGAAATTGGGTTTTTTCAATGATGTGCATTCTAAGCTTCCTAGTTCAAGTCGAAACCTAGGAACTGTCAGGCATTTGTGATGTGGATTGAGTACTGGAACTCTAAGGCTACGTGAGACAGCTCATATTATGCCTACTAGCGTTATATTCTGAACAGAACAAATAAATCGTGTTATGCTTGCAGTGTCGACTTAACAGCGAACTGTGACAGCTTTGCCCATATTTCTCGAGCTACAAGTGACGTTGATTTGTATATAATTATTTTGATGATGCTGATGATGATTATTATTACTAATTTATAGTTTAGAAAACCTATTTGTAATGTGGTCAGATGTCATGACTGCGTCATCGCTGGTGCTTTCTAAATAAATCCAGATTTGCCAAACCACTCACATCCGGCGCCACCCACCTAGATAAGAATGGGAAGATTGGAGAGGATGGAGGTACAACTTTTTACTGGGCTAATAAGATAGTGTAAATCTACCTAAAAAAAATTACGAGATTATTACCCTTGATTATCGTCTTCGAAAACTTAACAATAAATGCCCATTGAATGTTACGTGCCAAAATCCACTACACACCATCATGCATTTGCAAAAACCATAAAATTTCCACGAGTTCAAATATTAATGCATGACGTGCATAGTGGTCAATTGACCATCAAAAACACACCAGCATGTGTTGCAACGATACGCGCAACCAGCAAACTGTGCTGAGGCGTGTTGTGCCTGCCAATGGAGCCAACATTCACAAAGGCTGGTTGCTTGCCGTCTGAGTATGCGCGTCTTCTGTAGGTACATCAATTTTCCCATAAGACTGAAGAGGCAAATTTGATTCCAACAAGTTGCCATTTTTCTGCTGTTTAATAATCACCAAAATTATCATTGTATCGACGGTAGTGACCCCATTTTGAGTTGTGTGTAATGATCACTGTGCTGTGATTTCCTTGGTAGCTGTAGTACCCTCCTGTGTTCTTTTTTTTGCATTCGTGACAAAGTTATAGGGTATCTACAAGCTTTGGTTTAGACACGAATATAAGGAAAGCCATCCTCCATGTATGTGGTTTTATTGAATCGGTTACTTAATTGTCTCGTTTTGTTTCTTTAACTGAGCTTTTGCATCAAACTCTGTTCAATGTTATTAATAAGTAAGCTACTGAAATTCACGAGTATAGGTTGATCTCAAATAGTTTTGTGGTCTTTGATTTGTAGCACGATGAGTCACACATACACAATCATTGCTAAATTGTAATTGGTGTACCTACATCCTCGATATTCTTACTGTTTCAGCCAAAATAAACACGTTATCTGCCTGTTTGACTAGGGATGTCGAAAATTCGCAAACACATCTTTTTACCTAACCTCTTTCATTCTGACCCATACACCCATTTCCATGTCGGTCAAAAGTTCAGTTGTCAAGACTTCGTGTAAAAGGATATTACTAAGGCTTCCACGAAAGACTTTTGTAGTGCATCTTGGACGGAATACCTCGGACTACAAAGGAAGTCACCGTTGACTGGTGCATAGCATTAGACCAGAATAGGTTCATCTTTTCTGTTAAATGTTTTTCCGCACTGCCTGCAAAGCAGAGATTATCACGGTGGTTTGTACGAAGTGTGCCATTATTGCTATAGCCGCAGTTAGTTCTCCTTATATGACTGTAGTCTAAAGATTTCGCTTTCTCACTAGCAAACTCAAACCAATTCATGCCTGCAGGAATGCTTTCCTTGAAGCTTATGGGACCGGAATTCCGTTATGTGTTATCCGACAAATGCATTAGTTTAATCAAAAAACGAGAAAGCTGCTTTGTGCTGTTCCATTTTCATCCACCTTCTCATGGGCTCATTAGTGCCGAGCATTCATTTGTTGCTGTGGTACACATTTGGGCAGCATCGGTGGTACTTTATCGGTGAATGAGTGAGAGATCGAAGTGTTCTTCATTTTAAGTGAAATAATCAAAAAATGCCCTCAAGAACTCATGTCTTTGATTCTTCACTAAATCAACAGCAAGCAATCAATCGTTGCGTAGTTACATACCCCCACCTAATTGCTCTTCTATTGCTTGAATCCCACAAACCACGAAAAGGATCTATCTTAAGTCGTTTGGACTAATTAGTATTCCATTTCGCACAAAAACATTAAGAAATAAATCTTGATTAAAATATTTTATTAATTCAAACATGGATGATTTGTGATTCATTTATCCATTAATTTCTTGTCTTCTACATGTCAATACCAGTTCACGTCGCCACTCCTACTTTTAATCACCTTCGCAAAAAATGCCTTCTTTCCTTACAAATAACAATTTGCGTAATCATCTTAAACTTGATTTTCAACTGTTCGATCAACCAAAATCAGCAGACTGTTTTTAGGGTCCTCATTAAATAGCGATGATACGCACACCCTCAGGCTACCAAAAACGCAATAATCCATGTCGACATTCTTACGCAAAAAATCAGAAGTGATGTGCACTTCATTTACGAAACAAATGAGTCGAGTCGGTGACATGGAAGTGCAGTCAACTAAAGGTTCTATTGTAATTGACGTGTAGGCGGTATTTTTATTTCCTCGCTGTGCATCTGAATTTTGATTATAAATAAACGCAAATTCTAGGCGTAGCCCTAAAAGCATTCTGTTTTAAAAAAAGTTTTCTCTAAATTTTATACGTTGTCATTAACAAAATAATATTTCAATATTCTTCGAGATGTTCTGGTCCCATTAGCTTCTTAATTCAACATGTAAACACCCGGTAACTGGTAAAATTGAGGTAGGTATTATGCCCTAAATCTGTTAACGCACGATCTCAGTGCCAGTTCAATTACAAATTCAAGTAATCTTTTTTTAATGCAAATCATATTCGTGTTAATCAGGAGTATTTTTGTCAGCAGTTGAGCTATTTAGTCAAATAATAACACTTCCGCATATTTTGGCAATTATTTATTACTACGATGAACGTGTCCGCTTCCTCGCTTTGTAGGAGGTGGCATGGTTCGACCGACCGGAGAACCAGGCGGGCCTTCTGACGGCGCGATTGGCTACTGAGGTTCAGAGCCTACACAGGGTCACGGGAACTCAGTTGGGCATATTCTTTGAAAGTTTTGGGCTCGTCGTCTCAGCGCTGACGATAGCATTTCTTTATAGCTGGAAACTGACCCTTGTTGCAATGGCTTTTGTCCCTGCACTCTTTCTCGCTGGCACACTTCAGGTAACCCTTAAGTCACACATTGCTGACTCACATGCCTCCTTGAAAATCGTTGACTGTCAGCTAAGGATCGAGCTTAAGCCATCTAAAATATGTGTGATAACTACAAGCTTTTGGGTTTAAGTCCCAATTTTAGGCTTCAGGGTTTGGCCTGCCGATTATGAAAAAAAGGAGCGATTTCATTGGTCTTACTCGCCTCCTCCAATGCCTCACTCATCATTCACGTTCCCCCATGCCTTAATCAATGTGAATTATGGTTTTCCATAGACCCATAATATCCAACAAGCCTATTCTTTTCTTATCTTAATCACTTTTGTCCAATTTACTGTAAACTGTACTTTTCGTCCCATTGCAGACGCGCCAGCTAAGTGGCGGTGATAGCCAAAAGCAAGGTCTTGAGGCAAATGTCGCACAGGAGGCCTTCACGTCGTACCGCACAGTCGCTGCCTTCGGTCTGGAGAAAGCAGTTTACGAGAAGTTCAGAGCAGCCTCGAAAAAGTCTCCAGGGTAAAGTATTGGCACAAGAGCACACACGCTGCTAAATTGTTCTCGTTGTCATAAGTAGTCGGCGATAAAATAAGAACAATCATTGGCGATTACGATGTAGACTGCACCGGCCTGGGATAGTGAGAAGTTTTACCCCATATTTAGGTGGTCATTAAATTGCACCAGTTGAAATAAAGTAAGTAATATTTTAGACCGTTCAATTTACATGAATGGATGTTTCCCTCAGGAACGTCACCGAGGAGTCAAATCAAAGTCAGGCTGGAAACTCTAAATGGTCAATTTCTAGCCACAAGTTAAGATTTTTCTGAAAATTCCTTGAGCGCATTGATTTAGGGCTCCTGTTAAGAGTACATAGCAGCTCTAGAAGCTATCCAATTGCGTATCGGATTTTCATGCATTCGGTTTCCCTCTTTTGGTTACTACACGATACACTACTGCATTCTCAATCCGTTTCTTCGAATTCACACAAAATGTGTTTGTGTGTTTGTAACTGTAGGTCCCGCTACTGCCAATCCTTACTCTTCGCAGTCGTACATTGTCTAGCGAATGGGACTTTCTTCTTTTTAATCGCCGCGTATTTCTATACGGCAGCAGTCCTGTTTGATAGGAAAGAGTTAGATTTGCCGTCAATTTTCAGGTTAGTTTGCAATGGGAAAGCCAGAATGCTGTTTTGTCTGTCGTGTTTATGGTATTAGGAGCAGTTCCACATCAAAACATCATTTCTGTTGAGCGGTTTACTGGATTTTGAGTCCATTTGCTAACTTAGAAACGTTCAGATATCTGACATTAGTTTTAATGACAATACTTTTTTGTTCCTACTAGCTCTCCTACCAACTATAACCAATAGAAGCATGTCGCATATTACAGATATGTCATGATAATTCAGGCGAACATATTGAGATGAACTTATCTGAAAGTAGCAATGCATCGTTAGTGCTACTTTATACGACAAATAGTAAATAGATTTAGAGAGTAACTTATTGAAGTTATCCCCGACGAAGATCTCCCTATTGCGTAATAAATTAGAAATGATGCTCAGCAAGCAAACAGATAAAAACGATATATTAAATGACTAATAACTTTTGCAAAACATTTAGAATCTTTTCCGCGGTTAATTTTGCTGCCCAAGGCCTTGGAAGAGCTGCTACTTATGCTCCAGACTTCAAGACAGCCTCACAAAAAATAAAGAACACCTTGTCAACCATCCATCGAGAAACAAGAATGGACGTTAACGAAGGACTTTATCCATCTGAGCCGCTGAAAGCGATATTTGAATTCAAGAACGTCTACTTTCGCTATCCTACTAGAAGGAGAGTTCGAATTCTGAAGGTTAGTTATGCACTTTGCACATACCCAGTCACATGTTCACAAGCTTAATTTTTTTCTTTACGTCAGGAGATTGACATTGAATTGTATTTAGGAAAAAGCTGACTAGTCAACTAGCACAGGTTAATGAAAATTGGAACCAACTTGTGGTTTTTGTTGTAAGTAGTCACATTTCTTTGCTATGCAGATATTTTGAACTCGGTGAAAGTTATGTTCACTGAATTAATCTTAAGGCTAACATCACCTGAGTCCGGGTTTAGTTTTATCTGGTCAATACACTAGATGAGCCAAATAAGCTTTGCTCCTTGGGATGATCTGTTTATCAGTTCATGACGTCTGTAAAGTGCTTAGCAGTGCAAACTCAATGGACACGAAAAGCAAATGTTTATTTTCAACTTGCTTTGATCT